TAATTATAAGATAAGTTATAATCAGAAATAAGAGCTATAAGATAATTATTATTTATAATAATTATTTGAAGAATTACATAGTATTTATAATCAAATTTAATAATATAAAAATAAAAATACTTTAGTTATCAATATATAAGTAAAGATATAACTTATATTAAAACTATAAATTGATATATAATATTATATATTGATTTTTAATCAAATTCAAAATAGATTTGAACTCATATAATAATTCAGTTCAAACTTTTGAACTCAAATCAAAGTTTGATTTTAGTTCAGTTCGAATTTTAAACTAAACTCAAATATAGATAAATATTTAGTTTATTTTAATTTATAGAAATACTATAAATGAAAAAACAAAATAAAATAATTATAGAAAAGTTTAATTATATTTGAATAAAGAAAAAGTATTAAAAAATAAAATATCATAATATTATTTCTATAGTAATACAAATTAAAATTAAGTTTATTAATCAAAATTAAAAAGATTTATAATATTATAATAAAAATTAAAAGTATACTTTTATAATAAACTGAAAAATAATCAAATATTCATATAATATAGTAGTTATAAGACTAGATATTATATATTATACGTTTTATTAAAAAAATAATTTATTTAAAATATTAAAATAAATAAAATTAATTAATAATAATAAAAAAATTTATTTATAATATTAGTACTTTTGAATTATTAAAATTAATTAAGAATAAAATATATTTTTTTATAATTTAATAATTTTTTTATAATTAAAAATATAAATTAAATAATTTTTTATAATTAATTAAAAAATAATTAATATTTAATAATTATAAATAAATAAAAAATCTAAAAATAAATAAAATATAAAATAATAAAAAAATAAACAAATAATAAAATGTAAAATAAATTAAAATAATTTAAAAAATTTTAAAACTTTTATAAACTATTTATAGTTATTTAAATTACAAAGAATATAAAAGTTTTTTATAATTAATTTTATATTTAAATTATAAAAATATTTATAATAACTATATAATAATTAGAACAATTTTATTAGATTAAATTTAAAAAATAATTTATAATTTTTATTTTAATATATAAATCAAAATATTAAAATTTAATATTATTTTAATTAATAAAATTATATAACTAAAAAATAAATTTATAAAATATTTAATAACTTTAATATTAACAATTATATATAATAATAATTAAAAATAATGCAATAATATCAAAATTAATTAATTAAATATAATAAAATATAAGTGTTTTTATATAAAATTTTTTTATTTTTATATTAAAATAAAGATAGTATTATATATTTTAATATATAAAGTTATTTTAATTACATGTAAAATTAATTATTTTTTATATATATTTGAATTATAAAAAAATAATTGATTTTATACGTAATTAGAATAGATTTATCAAATTAAATCTAAAAAAATATATATTAAAATATATAATATTATTTTTATTTTAATATAAATAAAAAATATTTATTAGCAAAATTGAAACTTTATATAAAAAGAAAATTCCATATTTAATTAAAAATTTTGATATTATTACATTATTTTTGATTGTTATTATATATTATTACTATATTCAGAATTTTAATTAGTTAATAAAAATATAATTATTATAAATAATAATTAATGTAAATAATTGTTATATTATATTATATTATTTTCAAATATTTATTTAAAATTTATTTATATTTTTTTTGAATATAATTAAATTTTTCTATATTATATCTATTATAAATATATTTTTATATAAAATATATTTTTATATAAAATTTTAAGTATAATACTAATAATTTAGTAAAAATTTAAAAATAAATTATATAATCTTTTTGACTTTTTAAAATTTGTAACTATTTTTAAGTTAAATATATTTTTTTAATATTTAATATTAAATAAAATTTATTTGTATATACAGTAGCAATCAGAAATAATATAATAACATCAAAATATAATAAAATACAAATTTTACTTTTTATATAAAAGTTTTCAATTTTACTAACAAATATTTTTTATTTTACATTAAAATGAAGATTATATATTAAACATATATTTTTTGATTTAATCTGAAACAAATTTATGTTAAAATATGTGATATTATCTTCATTTTAATGTAAAAATAAAAAATATTTATTAGTAAAATTGAAATCTTTTATATAAAGAGAAAAATCCGCATTTTACTATGTTTAATTAATAAATTTTGACGTCGTTGCGTTATTTCTGATTGCTACTGTATATTAATTAATTATTAATTATAATTTTTAATTTTAATAGTAAATTTTAAATTTAATATATTACTTTGTAAACTATTATAAATCTATTAATACTATTATTTCAAAAATCAATAGTAAATTTTCACTGGTTTTTACATAGATCACGAATTAATAATTTTAAAAATTATTTTGTAAATTTCAATTATATAATTGTATATTTAACTTGGGAAATAATATCATATTAATTATTTATTTTAAATATATATGATAAATATATAGATAAACTGTTTATATAAATTGTTTATTTTAAATATATAGATAAATTGGTTATTTTATATATATACTGTTTATTTTAAACTTATATATATATATACTTTATTTTCATTAAAGATTTACATTTCTATAGATGACACTTTAGCCCACAAAATACGGTAATAACGGAGAATAATTATAATCATTGTAAAAATTAAGTAATAGTCACGCACGTTATAATACATGTATACAGTAAATAAAATCTGTAAATATGATCCAACTTAGAATTCACAAAAATTATATAATATGGGACGGGCCAGTAGAAAAGTGAACTTTTGAAATATTTATTGTTCTACATAAGAGTCTTTAAAAAGATAATTATTCTTTCAAATTAAAAAGTTCAGTTTATTGCACCAACAATACCTTATAGATGTTCTAAGTATTGCAATTAAAAACACGAATCAATATAAGCACAATGCGTATGCTCCTTATTTACTCATCGAGAAAATTTTCTCAAGTAAAGATTAAACAATTATAAAATATGACATTGTTTTCTTCGAATGATGCATGTAAATAAGACTTTTTTGAAATTTTGTGGTTCGTAATTTATTTTATTTTATGTTATGTATTACAAAATCTTACAAAATGCACATTTGAAAAGAATTTAAGAAATGCGCCTATTTTATTATTAATACTTTCGATGGATAGATAGTACAGGTATATATATAGTTCACAAAAATTAATATAAAATGTGAAGCAATTAAATCAAAATTATTAAAATAATGCGTAAAAAAGGACGATGTCTCTACTCTAAACCGAAAATTTAGTGTAAAATGATATCACTATTGAACGCCTAAGCAATTATAAATGAATCGAAAGTAGTTTTGTAATACTCTCAGACATAAATAACACCAAATAATAATACGTACATGTATTTGAGTTCTTTTTTACCCCCTTTCAAAATATTCAGTTAAAATATGTTAAATGAATCTCTAAAATTAGTATTTTGTGTTGAGATACAGAATATTATTGGTTATATCAAATGTTGGGGGTCAAATAAAATATGCACATACACTGAATATGTATTTCATATCAAACGATTTGTGTAATACATACACTTGTATGCTAACCTTATGGAACCCTTGTTACATGAAAAGCATCTTTTAGTTGAGGATATTCCTATTGCTATGCATATCAATATCGATTTGTGCGTACGTATCTAGCAGACACATTGAATCACGCAGTAATTTGAACATATTTTATGGTTTACATTAATTGCCTCTTCATTTATGATTCTTTGTTATCTGAATTTAGCTTTTATCATTACTTTATTTGTTTTCATTGATATGCTTAGAAAGATAACAATCTTTTCATCAGTCTGAAGACCAAGCATCGTGTTTTTCTCGTTGTAATACAGAATGCCACATATTTTCAACTGTAACGATAATTGTGTAATTAAAGTACATGTACAGTACATGTATAAGCAAAATTTAAACTGGGTATACATGTAATTATTAATTTACGTAACTATTATTAAGCAATTCTTAATTCAGGTTTAGATTGTGATCATAAATTTATATTGATCTGTAATATTTTACTTTTTATTTATCGTATACAGCCAACCCCCCGTTAAAAATTAAGTTTACCAAGGTTTTAGTAAATTCGGCTTATCATGATTTACTATAACTGTTCTTGAATCGACTTCGATTTATCGAGGCGGTTTACTATAACACAGCGTTGGAATTCGCTGTACTAATACAGGATTATATATTAAATTAGTTAGTACATGTACAAAATTTCTCAACCCTGACCTGACTATAACTGTTTTCAGAGCTAAATACAATTTATGCAGTTTTAATTAGTTCTTCAGTTTAACGGTGTTGAATATGTATGAATATATAAAATAAAATAAAAACTTTATATGTATATTTATATCTATCTATCTATCTATCTATCAAAAGTAAAATGACGAAAATTGTGCTAGTTGAATGTAATTGAAAATAATAATATAAATACCAAAAGTTTGTATTATTATTCTTCTATCTATCGTTTCCAACCGAAAAAGGATGACAAGAGGAGCTGATGTTTCGTTTCTTGCGGCACAAATATTGATAATATATATTTATCATACAGTATTTTAAATCAGTAATCATTTAATTCAATATTAGAAACAATTATTCTTATAATATAATTAAAGACAAATAAGTTGAAATTTACAGACACACAAAAATAATTATATTCCCACTTATTATTTCATATATAAAGAGTATATAAAGAGTATATAAAAAAAAGCAAGAAATCTAACATCATCGGATGAATCGTGACTGTCTTCGCATATATAAATAAAGGAAAGAACAAAATGGCAAAAGATATAGTCAAAAAAAATGCTTTTTTTACTACGTAGAACCTCTTCCGCTCCTTAATATTCCTATTCAAACAATTGCGCCATATTATATGCTTTAGAATATATATATTTATTCAGGTCACTCCGATTTTTTTACAATCAATAATTAAACATCATTCCGTTCATTTCTTTTTATTATGACAAACATAAACTTCTTCATGAGTCGCTAATTCGTTAACATCAACAACAATTATATAACGTTGAAGCAACAGAAGAGATTCCGCCGGTTCATCTTTTGATCCAATTGATAATCTTAATAAAGACAAAAATCGACGAGGCAGACATTCATCAAACATAGATACAAGAGCGTCAAGGGTTGGCGTGATTAATTTATATCCAATTACATATCCAATTACATATGAAGAATATCATGATACAAACAACACACAATCGACTCTTTCAAATGTTTTAAATATGTTGATAATGATGCAAGAAGTAACTATTCGCTTAGCAATTTAAACTCTACCAATTCATTACAAAATTTTATACTAATATTGCATCATTAAATTTGATATCTCAATTGGATGCCATTAATACTTCTCGATTTCATTATCGAATTGGTAACTTGAATAATCCACAGCATTTCGGACTAACTGATAAATTAGCATTCGCACGTTTCTGGAAAGCATTTATTAACGAACGCGGCAGACAGATTCAATTGGTGGTATAAGCAATTTACATAATGCAGGTGATTAATTCGAGTGATTTATTTTTCCCATTTTATTTATTATCGTTATTAATTTATTTTTTTATTTTCACATTTTAATTTCATTATCGATTTCAACTTTCGCAGTATGATCTAATCATTATACATGAACCACGTTCTTTGTCGGATCAACGTCAGGTGTGTATAATTATCGTTATTTGGTATCATCCAGTTACAATTGTTTGCTATATTTAGAAACATCCTTACAAGCAAAAATTGCTATTACGTAGTGAGAACACAACCTTTGCATCATCATTAATGACATTCTCCACTAATAAAGCAATACCACCAACGAGAGAACAATTTGTGATTCAATCCGTCGATAAGGAATGAAGTACGACTTTCTTGTTACCATAGAAGATGTTACCCTATTGATTTATATTTTTTTAATCATGAAATGAATTCATGGAGATTGAATGAAAATTTCCTGATCGAAAGAATATACATTTGTGCTTTTATTGTTGATGCGATTCATATTTTTGTAATTTTTAATTCAATTAATATTATTTTCTCATTTGTAATATAATTGTCGTTTATCGTTGGATCAGACGGAATATCTTCTGTTGCTTCAACGTTAGATAATTGTTGTTGATGTTGGCAAATTGGTGGCATATTAAAGAAGTTTATGTTTATCGTAATAAAAAGAAATAAATTAATTATAATTGGTTATATTTTATTTTATAATCTATATAATAGAAGAGCAAAAAAAAATTTTATATCGTGTGTAAACACTGTATCTTTTACCATTTGTTTTTTCTCTTTTCTTTTATAAATACGAGCGAAAAAATTCCAATGATAATGAATGGTATTCACGTTCTAGTTTATTTAACTTGTAAATGTGGTGATACTTTTAAAAAGCTCCTCTTCTTTTTGCACTACACAACAAACATTGTCTGTCAAAATGTATGGATGTTATTTATGGATTACCTGACGATCTCAAATCACACTTGTTTTTCTCCATAATCAAGATTTAATAAATTGAATAAAGGAAGTGACATACACTACCTGGACAAAAGTCTTGCACATCGAAAATTTTTAATTACATAAAATTGCACATAATAATTACATTTCAA